GATCCCAGCGTCCTGGGATCGAGTCCCACATCGGGCTCCTTGCTCAGCAGGGAGCCTGCTTCTCCCTCTGCCTCTGCCTGCCATTCTGTCTGCCTGTGCTTGCTCTTTTTCCCCCTCTCTCTCTCTCTGACAAATAAATAAATAAAATCTTTAAAAAAAAAAAAAAGAAAAAGATTATATAAAGACCTACACTGCACAATTCAAACCTGTGTTGTTCAAGGGGCAACAGCGTAAGTAAGGCTCTAGGTGAGATTTCCTCAAGATGATGAAAATGACAAATAACCTGGGCACCTGATTGGCTCAGTCAGTTAAACATACCATTCTTGATGTCAGCTCAGGTCATGATCTCAGTGCTGTGAGATCTGAGCCCTGTGTCAGACTCCACACTGGGCCTGGAGCCTACTTAAGATTCTCTCTCTCCCTATGCCACTAAACCCACCCTCTCCCTGCCTTAAAAAACAAACAAACAAACAAACAAACAAAAAAACAGAAAATGACAATTAACAATGCAACAGATCATGTGGAAAAAGTTAAAACTAGGAGAGTTTTACTATGAATTAATAAGAAATATATACAATACTAAGAAACCTCTCCTTCACCAACACACACCCGCACACAGAGACAACTGCAGAAAAATCAAAAGGTTCGAAGGACACAGAAAATACTGGACATCACATGGCTAAGCTGTGTACATTATTAACATGATAACATTACACACTGAATTCCTAAGCAAAATTATAATAAAACAGGTAAGACAGCAGGATGTCAGAGGTAGGCATGAGGTAAGGCCCAACACAAGGACTGAAATGACTAATCCACAACTTCTACAGTGAGAAGTAAAAAGTACTTCAGAAGGATGGAATTTTAAGATACAGAGGTAGGGGCGCCTGGATGGCTCAGTAGGTTAAAGCCTCTGCCTTCAGCTTGGGTCATGTTCCCAGGGTCCTGGGATTGAGCCCCCTATCAGGCTCTCCGCTCAGCTGGGGGCCTGCTTTCCACCCCCCCCCCTCTGCCTGCCTCTCTGCATACTTGTGATCTCTGTCAAATAAATAAATAAAATCTTTAAAAAATAATAATAATACGATACAGAGGTAAATAGCGAAAGACCCAGCTGACAGAGTTAAAGGTGGTTAGAAAGAGGGATATAGCCATAGAAGATCATTTTCCAAGCAAAGCCTATCGAATTAACCACTTGCCTTTTTAAATTATATGCACCTTGTATAATAAAAGTAAATAATGACTTAAAAAGTGATTTTATAAAGACCTGGATTTTCTAACACCATTTGAAATATTAGGCTTCGCTAAGAAAACAAACATGGATGATCACAATAATATGAACACTGCAGTATAATTTTTAATTTTTCACTGATATCATCTAATAAATAGTACAAACTAGTAATTACTGAGACTATGTAAAATATATACGGGTGTTCATTGTGCTACACTTCAATCTGTCTATAGGTTTGAAATTTTCAAAATGAAAAGTTGGAGGAGAAAATTATAAATGCCCCAGAAAAGAGTCAAACATTAATACTGGTCATAGTTCTAATGTAGTGGAGAGCAGGATTACTTTAACAGCAGTCTATCCAAAATTTCTACTACTGGAAAGTGTCAATGGCAAGACCAGTAATTCCACCAGGTTATGTGCTATGAAGGAGATGAGAAAAAGGAGCACATTCGAAGAAAAATGGAGAGTTAACTACTAAGAGGTATTAATTAGGCTTTCCAGAACTTGGCTGACCATACCTTGCCATAAGCTATGGGGAAATGAAAACAAAAGTGAAAAATGGTGAAAGAAAATGGAAAAAGTATTATGAAATAACTAGCTGTAAGGTTAAATAGATCCATTTTACCACGTTTTGTCATTTCTTTAGTAGGAAGCTACATAAATTGACCCTTTCTGGGAAGCTCACTTGAATTTAGAAGTCTTAACCTTTTTATAGCCTGAAAACAAAACATGGTATTTTCCAGTCAGTAACAGCACTTGCTCTTTGGTGTGATCACATTCCCAACTCATGAGAAACGGGCCAGACAGGAATCCTCAGGTATACTACACCAAATCTGCAGTCACTGCACCCTTACCAACCCCTAATGTTAAGGGTGTGCTGCCCCTCCTCCCATCAAGGCCAATTTCACACTGTGATACCAATCCCATCTAACATCTTCTTTTCCCAGAAATCTATATCCCTTACTACTCCTGTCTTAGCCCTCTATTTCCAGAACTTTTCTCAACAGCATTACTAACATGATTATCCCCACTTTCAGAAATCCTTCTAGACCCCATATATCTCTCTACCTATAGCATCCCCACTTCTCTGCTTTGTCTCTATTTCCTGTCTAATTCAACTTCAAATACAATCATACCACCAAAAATACCACTGATCTCTACCTTCTTACACCAAATGGACATTTTATTTGACCACCAGGCAAAGTTCAACCAAATCATCATATCTCCCTCCTCGAAACATGCCAGTCACCAATACCACATGCCAAATAATCCTGGTTTTCTTCTTCCATCTCTGATTTTTTCCCAACTCTTTTCCAAACTCAGTATCCTCAACAGACCTCAAATGCTTGCTTCCTCAAAACCACCCTTTTTCTCACCGTATATTTCATCACAAGCCATCTCATCCATGCCTTGCCCATGGCTCAGTTAATTTCAACAAGCATAGTTCACCTTGCAGTTACTCATGTTCTAGTGCTCTCACTTAAATGGCAATATTATTTATGTATTGGTGAAGTTAAAAACTTGGGAGGCATCCTGACATATAGAAACCTCAGGACTTCATTCTCCCTCATTCCTCATTACCCATCCACTATCAAATCATACAGATTTTATCTTCTAAGTTGTTCTTTAGTCTCTATCCACCACACTCACCCACCATAATCATTGCAATTACCCTTTTAACAATTTCCTCTTACTTAATCATGGCCCCTTCCAATCCATTTTCAATACCATAGTCAGAGAAAACTTTACACAGATCAAATCACATCATCCTCTACTTTAAGGGAATCACACTGTTCTAAGAATAAAATACAAAATTTTAAATGAAGTCTAAAAAACTGCTACACAATCTGACTCCAATCTACTTCCCTAGCCTCTATTGTGCCCTCTTCTGTCACTCTATGGGTAGGAGACCTCTCAGAGCCAGAGCATATACTACTTTCTGTGCCTGGAACATCTTCAACTTCTTTCCGTAGTTAATTCCTACTCATCCTCTCAACTCTCAGACCAAAGATACTTTACTAACATATCTGCCCCTGAATACCTTGCACCAGAAGTCCAAATTACGTACCCCTGCTATAACACTGATTAAACACCAATATTATCCTTGGACACACTTTTCAAAGAAGTAATTATCTTTCTGATTATTTGCTGGAATCTTGTCTCTGGACTAAATAAACCAGGGCAAGCAGAAGTGATGTTTTGCTCATTACTGGATCCTACCACGTAGCATACTACCCATATAATATAGTGAGAAATTGCTGAATAAATGACATGGACCCAATTAGTGTGCATGAACAGTACATAAATAAGAAACTTAATAGGAAGGGTAGAGGGGGACAACTAAAAGAATTTTCTACTAGTAGTACTTTAATGTCCCAACATGCCACAAAGATTAAGATATTATTATTTTTTTAAGTGAGCTATAAAGGTCTTTAGATACCTCAATGTTCAATATTTGAAATAAAAAATCAAATTTAGCAATCCCACCTTTGATACATGTATATGTGAAAGTTACTCTTTACACCACTGTTGTGTGCACAGAAACACTTTATCTTATGTACGTATGTACATAAATATGTATATAGTGACTTCACAACATCAAAACAACCTAAACACCCATCAACAGGAAAATGGTTATATAAAGTATAAAATAATCAAAAATTGGAAAACTATGCAGCTGTAAAAAAGAGAGAGAGAGAGAGAGAAACAAAAAGGAAGTCTTCAATGCACTACATGGAAAACCTGTAAGAACTGAAAAAAGCAAATGTAGAACATATGAAAAAATATGCTACTTCTGTGTTAAAATAGAGAGATGAGACTATATACTTGGATTTACATAAAAATACTCTAGAAACAAACTACAACTGGTTACTGTTTGAAAAGAAGGGTAAAGAATGGGACAGATCAGAAAAAAAGAGGAAGTGAGCTGATTTTTTAAATATTATGACTATATGACCTATTCAAAAACTAGAATATACATATTAAATCACAAAACATCTTACGAGAAAAAAGGTAGCTCAAGATGAAGTTTTAGTCTCTAGCTTACAGCATTTTAAGGATACCTGAGAGTCAAAGAGAACCAAGTAAGACACAAACTATAGTTATTAAAGGGAATGTTCTAAATCAAGATTTTACAATTCAAACTTCAAACGATTCTTTACAATTGTTTGAGCTTTAAAACTTAACAGCAATGATATAAACCTAAAGGCTGAGGTAGAAAAACCTAAATATACTGAAAAGGGATTGTAAACAATGTAAACTTTAATGTTAGTAACAATAACAATGTTAATAAACCTAACATTTCCTAGCATCTAAATAGAATGAGAATTTTTAAATCTTTTTTTTTTTTTAAGATTTTATTTATTTATTTGAGAGAGAGACAGTGAGAGAGAGCATGAGCGAGGAGAAGGTCAGAGGGAGAAGCAGACTCCCCATGGAGCCGGGAGCCTGATGTGGGACTCGATCCCAGGACCCCGGGATCATGACCTGAGACGAAGGCAGTCGTCCAACCAACTGAGCCACCCAGGCGTCCCGAGAATGAGAATTTTTAAATCATAAAAATAAAACTTTAAAAAAAATTCAAAAAGATATATTAATAACAAACAAAACAAAACAAAACAAAAAGATATATTAATAACAATTCATTCACCAAATGCTCAAAGGTAAAAATGCATTACTACGAAAGACAACAAAAATTAGGTTATATTAAAGGCAACTACAAGTTTTTTACTTCATACTGTATTTTATCATGTATAATCAATACTAGTATTACCTTTCATTTTTGAATGTGTGTTAATCAACGGATCAGAACAAATCCTGCAGGGCCACCATGGACGTCTTTTGAATTTTGCCCAGATGAGATCTCCAACTTCATACTTCAGTGGCGTAGACTTTTTCTTGGGTTGACACTTTAGACAGACAAAACATAGGTCCATCAATAAGAATCAAAACCTTTTCCAACAGTGTACCATTTTCCTATTAGCCTTCTGGGAAAGCAGAATTCTATAAAAATCTAGATGAAACAGACTAACAATTACAAAGCAAGTACAATTAAATCATTTTGTCTTAACGTTCCTAACATAGCCCTATATAAAGTAGTAGCTCTCAATTTATATTTCTTTTATATAAGTAATCTACCTGCATTCATGGAGAAAATTAGTTATTTTCATTAATAAAAAAGCTAATAACTGAAAAAGGAAATAGAATCATCCCTAGGAAAACATACCTTTGCCGTAGTCCTTAGATTACAACACAACATGGTGCAGGGGGAAATTATAAAAAGAATTTATGAATTTATGAACAAAGTCAAAAGTCTATGTTCCCAATATAATCTGTTGATTGTATCTCAATAAAATTGGGTAGAGGGTGCAGGGAGACTGCGGTCCCTTCTGCAGCTGATATTCTACAGCGTTCTCAAATAAACATAGACATTCCTATTAATTAATTAACAGTAATAGCTCTAATGAAATAATCCTGAAAGCCACAGGCTAGACCCTAGCAATGTCAATGCACATGACCTGGACTTCTTCCAGGACCTATAGAAGAGTGAGTATACTGGACAACTGCAAGGAACACCATTCATGCAGAGTAAGTTCAATATGAATCAAGCTCCTTTGACTTCTGTAACACAGAGACTTTGGCTGAATCTTTTCTCCAGAACCAATAACCCTAACTGATCTGCAATCCAACATCCTCCATCTCCACTCTAAACCCATGGTCATGCCTTTAACACACCATAAGAACTGCTTATCTTTAAAAAAAATCTTGAAAAAGGAAAAAAGAAAAGACTACTTTTGCCTGTTACCAGTTTGTAAATCATCAAGAAACACACAAGACTTCAAAGCTAGTTAGTTGGCTTTGAAACTTTAAAACCAAGATACAGAGGACCTGGGTGGCTGCGTCATTAGGCGTCTGCCTTCAGCTCAGGTCAGGATCAGCTAAGGTCATGATCCCAAAGTCCTGGGATCCAGGCCTGCATTGGGCTCTCTGCTCAGCGGGAAACCTGCTTCCTCCTCTCTCTCTCTCTCTCTTTCTCTCTCTCTGCCTGCCTCTCTGCCTTCTTGTGATCTCTCTCTCTGTCAAATAAATAAATAAAATCTAAAATAATAATAATAGTAAAAAAACCAAGATACAAAGAATGGGAAAACAAATTTTTAAAAATTTTATTATTTGTCAGAGGGAGAGAGAGCACGAGCACGAGCTGCAGGCAGGGGGAGAACCAGACTCCCTGCTGAGCAAGAAGACGGACTCAGGACTGGATCCCAGGACCCCGGGATCATGGCAGACACTTAACCAACTGGGCCAATCAAAGGCAGACACTTAACCAACTGGGCCACCCAGGCACCTAAAACAAATTTTTTATTTGCCTGTACTGAAAACTACAATTTGAGTAGGTTTCCATAAATTTCTGATACGATTTATAACCATTTAATTTATTTGGCAATCATTGGTATTGGCTTATTTATTCAAGTCTTAAATTACGTGAAACATATTAACAGTTACTTGATGTTTGCTATGTGCTAGACACTGTTCCGTTTTTAGTCCTATTAAGGTAGATACTATATTATTACTTATTTTACTGTATGTTTAAGATCATATAGTATTTAACAAGTTGGCAGAGCCAGGAGTCAAATCTGGACAAACTCTCACCACTGCCTAATCATCCAGTAACAATAAAACCCCATGACTGTTACATGCTTTATGACAAATTAAGCCATAATCAATCTATGACATGATACTGGTTCAGTCTTTCCTCATATTACTCCAACAAAATGATTAAACTATATTATCAGAATGTATAGCCATAAAACACATGGTTCCAGTGTCAACTATATTTCCCTTAAATTTTTTCAAAAAACATACTTTCAGTAGATAGCAAGGAAGGAACATGAGTAGTCTAAAGAAAGTCAGAAGCTGAATCACTCAACTAGACAAAGCATCAATGAGTTCTGTCTTCTGACTCCATCACAAGTTATGTCATCTTAAATAAGTCACTTAATGCAGCCTCAGTTTCCTAAGCCATTGAATCAGGAAAGAAACATTTGTTCTGGGGAGCCTGGGTGGTTCAGTGGGTTAAAGCCTCTGCCTTTGGCCCAGGTCATGGTCCCAGGGTCCTGGGATCGAGCCCCACATCGGGCTCTCCGCTTGGCAGGGAGCCTCCTTCCCTTCCCCTCTCTCTCTGCCTGCCTCTCTGCCTACTTTGATCTCTGTCTGTCAAATAAATAAATAAAATCTTAAAAAAAAATTTTTTTTTTAAAAAAGAAACATTTATTCTGCCATGAACCATCAAAATGAAAATAATTCTATTCCTAATATTGCAACCCAAAGAAAATAATCCAAATAAGTAGAATTACAGAAAAATACTTCAAGCAGTTATTTATGACAACAAAAACTTAACATCCAACAAGAGACCTGTTAAAAGAATTATGCTGACAACTCAATGAAATATGCAAAGTGCAGATGAAATTATGGAATACTGAAAATGTAATATATACCCACACAGACAATATACCAACCATTTAGAAACTATGCTGAAACTGAAATGATTTAAAAAAACAGTCGGACACGCCTGGACGGCTCAGTCAGTTAAGCATGCCACTCTTGATTTTGGCTCAGGTCATCACCTCAGGGCTATGGGATCAAGCCCCCAGTCGAGCCCCAATCCGGGCCCTGTGCTCCAAAAGAAGTCTGCTTGAGATTCTGTCCTTCTCCCCTGCCCCTCCCCTGTTCCCACGCTATCTCTCAAATAAAAAAATAAAAATCTTTAATATATACACATGTGTTTGTGTATGTGTGTGTGTATACACATATTTAGACACCCGGGTGGCTCAGTCGATTAAGCATCTGCCTTCAGCTCAGGTCATGATCCCAGGGTCCTGGGATCAAGTCCCACATCAGGCTCCCTGCTGAGTGAGTAGCCTGCTTCTCCTTCTGCCTGCCACTCCCCCTTATGCCCTCGCATGCTCTCTCTCTGACAAATAAGTAAAATCTTTAAAAAAAAAAAAATGATATATATATGTATGTGTGAATATATATATAATTTTGTTATAATACAGTTACTAGGAAATGAGACAGAATATAACATGTTAATATATAATATACATATTTATATAATATATGAGATAGATAAAACAAAGTCAATGAGAAACATGAGTAAAAAAGTTTCATTAAACTGATGGTATTGTGCATAAAGATTTTCACAAACTTGAAACATTTTATTATCTCCATCCCTTTTTTTGGGAAAGATTTTATTTTTATGTAATCTCTATACCTAACATGGGGCTCAAACTTACAACCCCAAGATCAAGTTCCATGCTCTAATGACTGAGCCAGGCAGGTACCCCTCTCCAGGCTGTTTTGACTGATTAACCATCATGACCAAATAATACAATATATGCAAACCCACTGGAAAATAATGTCTACACAAATACATATTGTTAGTACATTAATGGACAAAAACAAATTCAACTGACTTTAACACATAAAAAATTAGACACAGGCAGGAATTCCAGATCAAAGACAGGCCTCTAATTATGAAGTAGAGAAAATAAGGATAAGAAAAAAATATTCTTTTTAAATATGACTCTTCTCTTCAGAAGAGCTTATATATTTCACCTTGGAATGAAAGATACCCAAATACATCAAACTGTTAAACCCATAATTCAAGTGCATACAAACTTACTAAACAACCACAACAGAACGCTCAGTAAGAGACACAAAGATGAATTCCTGATCCCAAGATACTTGAAGAAAATCAGGAAAAACAAAAGCGAAGAAATGTCATCTAAGCTTAGACTGGAAGGATAGGCATAATTTCAGAATGATTTTTCCTAATATCTATGTATGTCCATTGGAAGACATAATGGTGCTAAGCCTTTTTATATACACTATTGAGCTGAACCGTGCTCACCCAAAAGTATACTTCACAATACCTGTAAATGAGACCTCATTTGGAAATAGGGTTCTCATCAAAATGAGATCAATTAGGGTGGGTTCCTAATCCAAGAGAAATGTGTCCTTATAAAAAGGAAAAATTTGGAAGCAGAGAGACAGACATACATAGAGGGAAAAGGATGAAGACACAAGGAAAACGCCTTCTACCAACCATGGAACTCCTGAGGCAACCAGACATTAGGAGAGGTATGGAACATATTCTCACAAGCCCGAAGAAAAAAACACCTTGACATTGCATTTCTAGTCTCCAAAACAGTAATACTATTAAATTTCTTTTGTTTAAGCCACCCATTTTGTGGCACTTTATTATGGCACCCCAGAAAACCTAAATACATAATCTTGCTTAATCCTCACATTATGACATGGTATTATCTCCATTTTGCAGATGGATAAACTGAGGATCAAAAAGGTTAAATCACAGTAAGAAAGGCTAAGACTTAAACCTGATTAATTCTAAAGACCATGTTTTAATATAACATCTTCCCTTCAATTTTAACTGAATAAATATAGCCAGATTTTGTTTTCAAAGTCTTTAAAAGCAAATCTAAGAACTAACTAAGCTCAAAATCTCCACTGCCATCCTTTCATTGACATTAACATGTCATTTTAACAATAAACTTTCCTATAAGCTTGTCCCTACTATTTTTAAGGGACTGATACATCTCCTTCAATCACAATCAAGAAGTGGCTCTTGAGCCAAAAGCTATGGTTAACAGACACTTTAGATCTCCAAGCACTTCCACTAATGAAATTTCCATCAAAGGTACAAACCAGACTATATTGCATTTCTAAGATAAAGTAAGCTCAGTGATCCAGGTTCCTGGGATGTATGGGATAAAACTTAAATTGTGTTCTATTTTAACATTAATTGAACTGATAATCCTTGGACACCAATAACCTTCACATACATATCCAAAATTTAAGAGTTGAGTCAAAATCAGCTAACTCATAGAAT